CGTTGTGCGTAGCATGGTTACTCTCGCTTTTTTTTTTAACGTAGTTGATTAGGGTACAAAGGGTCAAGGGTTACAGGAAAGTAGGTAAGACCATTGTTTCCACAATTTTTTGTGTGTGTGTATCTGGGGTAAGGAGGGAGATAAAGGGAGAAGCCCCACCCAGTCTCCCACCCCAAGCATGGTTACTCTTGAATACTTTCATATAAGTGAAATCTTAAAGAGCAGAAATTGAATTTCTCATTTTGTAGTTTAATAATGTAAAAAAGTGATTATTCAGGAGAATGAGATAAGCTAGGACTTGAGTGAGCAGCTCAGACTTAGTCATTTAATTACTTAATAGTTTTAGTAGAAGAATATAAATGGTAGAAATTTTTCTAAGATTTGAAGACTCCATTTGAGTTATCTTTTTATAAGTATTAACAGTTCACATATTACATTTATTTAAAATGGTTTATTTTCTGAACCTTGTCTCTGATGTCTTACCATTTAATGATTTCCAGCCACAGTCCCTTGAAGCTCTGACAGTCGAACAGATTCAAGATGATGTAGAAATAGATTCTGATGATCACACAGATGCTTTTGTGGTAAGTATCACAAAAGAGAATAATTATGTGTATTATGGTTTTTATATGAGTTAGTTAAATAATCATTTAAATGTGCAAAAAACAAAAGAACTTAAAACTTTTGATGTGAGTTTGAAGGTAATTCTTTTTTTTTAAGTGAAAGAGTTTCTTTTATGACTTTACTTTTATATTACCAAAATGCAAAATAGTTAATCAGAGGATTTTAGACATGTGACAAGCTTTCCCTTTTATACTCAAGAATAATAGAACATGTTTAATGTTATAATTAATTTAAAATCTATTCTTCCCATAATTAATCTTCATAAGATGGACTGCCTGAGTTAGAAGTATATTATTTTTAAAAGGATATGTATGTGAGCAATAACTTTACTGTTTCCTATCTGGTGTTAATAGCCAAAATAATAATAATAATGTTTTCTCAGGACTGTGGTCTATGAATGTGATCAGATTACCTCTCTGGTAACAAATATTTTGAAACAAAAGAGTGTAGTTTGGCATAAAATATTTAAGTATAAACTATTACTCAAGAATATAGTTGGCATAAGATAATTATAAACTAATACTACATCAAACTATGTGCACTTGCTGACACATCGAATTACCACTTGCTTTGCTTCGTTTGGCTAGCAACTTCTAAAAACAAGAGGAAGAAATTGTACAGCATGAAGTCATTCTTTCTGTTATCTTTTAACTTAACAATGCTAAGTGTGTGCTAATTACAAAGCACTTTTTTAGCACTTAAAGCATAACTCTTGTAGACATTAATACTGATTGAAAAAGGAAATAAATTGTGCTAACAACGTTGTAGAAAATGGACATTGAAACCACTAAGTAGACAGTAAGAGAATGTGGGAACTAGTCACAAAATCATTCTGCAAATTGCCTGCTCCCGAGCCCACTGATTCATTATTTTTTTAAAAAAAAGATTTTTATTTTTATTGGAAAGTCAGATATACAAAGAGGAGAGACAAAGAGGATGATCCTACATGCGTTGATTCACTCCCCAAGCAGCCGCTGCGGTTGGAGCTGAGCTGATCCAAGCCCAGGAACCTGGAACCTCTTCTGGGTCTCTCACGCGGTGCAGGGTACCAAGGCTTTGGGTCATCCTTGACTACTTTCCCAGGCCGCAAGCAGGGAGCTGGATGGCAAGTGGAGCTGCTGGGGTACAAACTGGTGCCCATATGGGATCTTGGCATATGCAAGGGGAGGACTTTAGCCAGTAGGCTAGTGCACCAGGCCCCACTGATTCATTATTATAATTCCAGTATGTGAAACAGAATTTTCTTTGTATTTCAGGCTTATTTTGCCGATGGAAATAAGGTAAGAACATTTTACCTTTAGTCTATCAAAAATTTTTCTATATTCTAACATGTAGCACTCACATACTTATGTGAACCCTATTTTTTGTTTTTTTCCCTCTTTCTTGCCCACCTTCTCTCTTCCCATCTTATCCTCTTATCTCCCAAAAAGCAACAGGATCGTGAACCTGTATTTTCAGAAGAACTGGGGCTTGCAATAGAGAAATTGAAGGATGGATTCACCCTGCAGGGACTTTGGGAAGTAATGAGTTGATCTTGAGTTAAGCTGGATTTCTGTTTAAAGACATCCCAAGACTTAAGATACTAATCGCCTGCTAAAAAACATGGAATTAGCTTTTATATTTGAAGCTTTTAAAGAAAATTTTTTACTGGTTACAGAAAAGCTCATTTAGAAAACTGTCAGTTTTCTAAAATTAACATTTAAAATTGTAATCAAAATGTATCTAGTTTGTAAATGTTTATTTTGTACCTACAGCTTGTAAAATGTTAGTTCTTTGATATTAAATGACTGTATCATGTTGGGCTTAATAAAGAATTCATGCAAGCAATTAATGTTTTGAAAGTATTATTGAAAGAATAAATTAGTCTTATGGACTCAGCTAAATACTACCTTCTTAATTATAAAAACCTGGTTTAAATATGTTATCAAATAGCTCCAAATGTAAGCCAACTCTAATACAATTTCTAATCCCTAAGTATGTCATTTTTAGGGGATAATTTCTGGAAGAACTAAAAATTATAACTGAAATATATCAACTCCTCTGTAATGCTGCCAAGATCTTAAAAGTAATTTCAATATAGGTTTGACATGAATACATTTATTCTATAAAAAAATAGTTTTGTCCATTTATTTATTGGCTTTCTGTTTGTGGTCACTGGATCTTTGATGTTTTCAAAAATATGATATTTTTTTTAATTGGAAAGGCAGATATACAGTGAAGGAGATACAAAGAGAAAGATCTGTCTGCTGGTTCACTCCTCAAGTGGCTACAACAGCCAGGGCTGAGCTGACCAGGATCCAGGAGCTTCTTCCTGGTACCGGGTCCCAAGGCTTTGGGCTATCCTCCACTGCTTTCCCAGGGCACAGGCAGTGGATAGGAAGTGGAGCAGCTGGGACATGAACTGGTGCCCATATGGTACCACAGCATGTGCAAGGTGAAAACTTTAGCCACTAGGCTACCGTGCCAGGCCGATATTGTTTTTTCTGACTCCTTGGAGAAGCAAAATTTGGTGACTTCTTTAGAACAGTTTGAAGTTTTTGGCTTCTAATGTATAAATAAAACACTGTAAATAACTTTTGTTATGTAATTGGAAATAGCCAAAAGAACTCTTTTTCTGTAGTGGGAAAAGAATGAGTGTGTAATAACATTTAAAACAAGATGCAACTATACACATAACCACAGACACCTAGTAACCCCGATGCCAACCTTAGATCATTGAATGTGAGTGAGCCAATGGTGCTAGTGGTTTCTTTCACTTAAATTGAACAGGGTTTCTGTGGTTTTGAGGGATGGGATTATCATAACCTATCTTACAGGAAAAAAGGCATTTAAAAATGCATATGTTACAGATAAGAGGCTGCCACTGAAGCTGTTGAAATACTCATTTTCAAGCTAAACACTTTTACAGACTGGCAGCTAGTAAGGAATAAGCTCCAATGTCACATCATGGTATTTGCATGTGACTCACTCATCTTTTCAAATGTTAGGTGTTACATGTAGAACGAACTGAGTCATTTATTGTTTAAACAAGGTAACAGCTGTTTTCTCTGGTGCGTTAAAACCTTTAGTGGCATCTATAAATGGAAAAAGAGTCAATGAGCTCTTCTTTCAGCTGTTTAGTTTTAGCAGCTGACAGTACCATTGACCTCATGGTGATGTAAAATAAAGAGGCCTTTCCTCAGAGTTGCTGAAGTTTAGAAACACTCATACACAGCTCCCCAATCTGGGGACATCCATCCATTCAACAAGCGTTCGTGGAGCACCCCCAAAGCCCTGAGACTGCAGCCTTGACTAAAATCATTCGGGTGGGGAGGGAGGGAAGTCCCTATTCTCACAGATCTTGTATTCTTTGGTGCATGTTTATAAATACCAGCCTTTGCCGTTGCGGTGTTTTCTAGCCCCACTGAGATCAGAATATGATGGAATAATGAAGCATTTCATGAGTCATATATTATCTATAAGGAATAGATTTTTCTTTCAAATCATAACTGCATTCCATAATAATTTCTCATAGTCAACAATCTATGATTCTAGCTACTTGTCATTTGTAAAAAAAAAAAAAAAAAAAAAAAATCCCGTTTTCCAAACTCTGTGAATGAGATAGCAATCCATTCTGATTTTGCTGTGATGGCACAGTTCTTATGGAGTTACATTTCTAGATCTTCAACATTATAATTAATAAAAGGTCATTTTCACCACTTAAAAGTACAGAATGTAGTGGTAGTATTTGTGAGTTTTTTTCTCTCCCAAAATTTGACTTTTAGCTGGTCTTTGCCTGGTTATTGCTTGCCACATCCAGTCCTTTGTACAGCAAGGCAAAGTGCGAATGAGTTGCATAATTTTATAGTTTTTCCATTTAAGAATACAGATAATTGAGAGTGTCTTAGAAAGTTATAAGTTTCTCATTATTATTTCAATTACAAAGGAGGTATTATTTTTAAAGTTTTAGGCAACAATAATTATAGTAACTGTTCCCTAATCCTAAAAGAAAAATCCTTGTCATACTGCTTTAAGCAGAAAATAAAATGTGTGTAACGATGACTGGAAAAAGGGATCTCACTTAGAGTGTTCCCATGAACTCACCTCTCATTCTTGACCTTTTCATCATTAATGTGGAGAGCCAAGTAGCTTGCCACTTAGACCAATCTTAGAGGAGTGACTCAGGCTTACGATTCATTTTTCTGGGAGTTCAGTAAACACTCTCAGTAGTAGCCTTGATTAGCTCATCTTCTAAGGTTCTATATGTGTTACAGCTCTGCCCTTCACTTGAATGCTTGTTTCCTAGCCGTTTCCTTGGTGATCACAAGTTCCAGTTGTTACTTTCAATCTACAACAGCTGCAAGAGCAACTCTACTTTCCAAACTAGCTCTCCTAAATTCCCGTTGTTAGAGTTGGGATCTATATTTAGCTGGTGGGATTAAATTGCAAAGGCTTCAGGCTGGGGCAAAGCTCACTGGTCTGCCTTTTTACAGCTAGACCTGTGTGCTGCAAGCAGCTAAGGCCTTCAGTGTCCCCTTCCTTACCCAGGTTACTCACAGAATGGATTCCCAGCGAGAACTCGCAGAGGAACTGCGGCTTTACCAATCCACCCTTCTTCAGGATGGTCTAAAAGATCTCCTGGATGACAAAAAATTTATCGACTGCACCCTCAAAGCAGGTGACAAAAGTCTTCCTTGCCACAGATTGATTCTGTCAGCTTGTAGCCCTTACTTCCGGGAGTATTTCTTATCTGACATCGAGGAGGAGAAGAAAAAGGAGGTCGTGCTGGATAATGTGGATCCCGCGGTGCTCGACTTAATTATCAAGTACCTGTACTCGGCCAGTATCGATCTCAACGACGGAAACGTCCAGGATATTTTTGCACTGGCCAGCCGCTTTCAGATACCGTCGGTGTTCACCGTGTGTGTTTCCTATCTTCAGAAAAGGCTCGCTCCTGGCAACTGTCTAGCCATCCTAAGATTAGGACTGCTTCTGGACTGCCCGCGACTCGCCATTTCCGCCCGGGAATTTGTGTCTGATCGCTTTGTACAGATTTGTAAGGAAGAGGACTTTATGCAACTGTCTCCCCAGGAGCTGATCTCGGTCATTTCCAATGACAGTCTAAACGTAGAAAAGGAAGAAGCCGTCTTTGAGGCAGTGATGAAATGGGTGCGAACAGACAAAGAAAACAGGGTGAAAAGTCTGAATGAGGTGTTTGATTGTATCCGTTTTCGCCTTATGACAGAAAAATATTTTAAAGATCATGTTGAGAAAGATGATATCATTAAAAGCAACCCAGAACTCCAGAAAAAAATTAAAGTTCTCAAAGATGCTTTTGCAGGCAAACTCCCAGAACCTAGCAAAAACGCAGAGAAGACTGGGGCTGGCGAGGTGAATGGCGATGTGGGCGACGAAGATTTACTTCCTGGCTACCTGAATGACATTCCCAGGCACGGGATGTTCGTCAAAGACCTTATCCTTTTGGTGAACGACACGGCTGCGGTAGCTTATGATCCCACAGAAAACGAGTGCTACCTGACTGCCCTGGCTGAGCAGATCCCCAGAAATCATTCCAGCATCGTTACCCAACAGAACCAGGTGTTTGTGGTGGGAGGGCTGTACGTGGACGAAGAAAACAAGGATCAGCCCCTACAGTCGTACTTCTTCCAGGTAAGAAGCTTGCACTTAAGAGGCAGAGAGGGCGGGCTGCCCCACTTGGCCCCTTGTGGATTATTGGAGCTGCTTGAATTTGCTTCTATTTGATAGCCTATCCAAGTTGCTTCCACTTTCCTACTTGGAGGATTGAGAGAAATCCTCATTTAATTGTGTGTCAGATTTAGTAAGAGGGTCAGTGACGAATGAGATTCTAATTAATGCTTAACTCACAACTCAAGGTTTTTCTTGATACTCTTTTGCCCAAAATGCTTTGTTACTGCTGATGGGTTGACAGTAATCCTTCAAAGCCCTAAATTTAATCTTGTACACTTACCTGGACAGTAGGGTTGGTATCTCCCTAAATCAATATAAAAAGTTCAAAAGGTTCATGGAAAATGCACATTATCCCCAGAATCTACAGAATTGTATCATAAAATTCAAAATTTTTAAAAATTAAATGCATATTATAAAAAATTGCAAGGAAAAATTTTTGCACCAAAACTTAATTCAAATTTTTATGAATTTTTTCAAGTATCTCATACTTCACACATTGCAAAGAAGTAATCATTAATCAGACTTCCTACTTTTTTCCAAGTTTCCTAGGATTGATTTGAAGTCCCTAATCTTTCACAGTTATGCTTAAAATGTAGGTAAGAGCCTGTGTCCATAGTCTACACACTTTGGATTATTCTCTAGGCAACACAGCACACAAGTTTTTTTAATTTGAATTATTGTTAGGAGTTTATGCTAACATGTTTACTGGGACAGGAGTTGTGCTTAGAGTATTACAACTCTTAATCTACAATTGGCTGGGAAGTATCACTATGCTCCTGAATCTATATTGTAAAATATGTAGAATTTATTTACTTCACAGAAATAAAATGAGTTAAATATACATATACAAATATATAAATCATATATAAATATATAAATCCACCTAAATTAAGAATCTCTAAATTGTATGTTTGTTTAGAGGATCTCTGTATCACATTATCAACATCTTGCACTTTATCCGTGCATGCAGCAATCAGTGGTTTAACCTTCATCTTCAGTAATGCCAATACCAGTGTTTTGCTGCTTACAACTGGCTCAGATTTGGTTTAGGTCATGGCTAATCATGGCCTGGAGCTTCAGGCACTTGAGCTGGAATGGCCAAAGATAAGCTAGTGTAGAATGTCAAACTACAGCCATTGTATGCTCTCAAAGTATGTGACTACTGTGCATTCACAAAATACTACCTTTAATCAACTTTTTCTAATTTTAAAGATGGAGTTGTAATACATATTAACTATGTTAATTCTCAAATTTTCCAGGGAAAGTGTTATAAGTATTTAAACAATGACCTAGAAATTTGTTAAATCATAATTTTAAATTCAATACATTTTAAAAAGATAAAAATTTTTATTTTAAAATAAGTTATAAATACCAGTGTTCTTCACAATACTCGTGAGAAATGTAATTAAAATGTTTGTTTCGGAGCAAAAAAAAAAACATGGATCCAGTTGGTTTTTTTTTTCATAACACTCATTTTCCATTGAGCTTTGGAAGCTCCTTCAGATATCCAAAAGTAAAAATATTGAAAGACAAGCAGATACTTAGATATACATACAAGGAATAGTTCTAGCCATGAAATAACTCCTCCTAGAGTTTATTTTTTATTTTGCAATTAACTTATTGAATATCCATAATCTAGACCCTAGTCATTTCATCTTTATCCAAGTCTCTTCTACCACATACTCCATCCTCTACCACTGCCCTTACTTTTCTAACTTGGTTTCTCATTTCTGGTTCAAGGAATCCACTTTTCATTCTTTATACCTACCAAAAAGACAGTACACAGAATTGGAAGCTCACCTCCCTATTTCTATCCATTTCTTGCTACTTGTCAAAGACACAAATAATAGAACAAGACAGCAGGATGAAAACATCTGACCATAAAAAAAATCTGTGATTCACACATTATTGGGGTAAAAATTCCAGATTTTGTATTTTCCTAATTGTGTTTTATATATACTAATTTAGTAGTAACTTGATGCTTACTACATGTTGTAAAAAGACTGAGATATTTCTTAGTAGAATGAGGTTTAAGGGTTTTATCCCCACAGAATTAATAGCTTTACCAGTTTGAACAGCACCAGATGTTAATAGGTCCAAATCCTATTTTTAAACAATGAAGTTAAATAGCTGGACAGCTCATGTATCAAAGAGCCCGACAGGCAGTCTACTGTGACATATGCTATAGAAAGGGCCCAATAAAAAGTAATTGAAGAAGGTGGACACTGTTGTACAATGTGGGTCTAGAATTAAAATGTATGCCATTCCATTTTTAAGAAAAACTATGGAATTGTGAGTTTGGGACAATGATTTGATCAATCTGTGCCTCAGTTTCCCTGTAGGTAAAACAGGGATGATAAAGTGTCTGTCCTTGGGGACTATCCAAGAAAAGCATTTAGGGCAAGACTTGATACAAAGCCAAAACCCTGTGTTCATTGTTATTTCTACTGTAATGTACACTATATTTTAAAATAAATTTTTTCAAAACTTAAAACTAAAAAAAAAAATACATATAATTGACCAGATAGGACACTACACAATGTATACATGTACAAAACCATCACGTAGCACTTCATAAAGATGTGCAGTTTTGAGGATCTGTTACAAAAATATAAAAAAGAGAGACAAAAGGCAGTTGGGAGAAAAAAGAAAAAAAAACTACAGTAAGGCTAGGCAGAGGCAGAAAGCAACTGTAAGCAGAGCTAACAGTGCACGTATGGAGGGTAAAGCCCTCTTCATTAGTCCGCGTGGCCTTTGTTTAGCTGAGGTTCCTCAGACACCTCTCTCTGTACAGCAGCCTTTTTTGTCCACATCTATTCCTGGTATCCAGCAAATCTGAATTTCACTATTTTCTTCTGTTAACTCCAAGTAGCACAAGACTGCAGCTAGACTCCCTAGCAGTGTGCATGGCTTGGTGTCCAAAAATGCAAAGTAGAAAAACCTTAAAATGACTAGCAGTGAGTACTATGGGAACAGAAGGGGGCCAGGATCACCTATTCCATAGCATGGGCCCTGGGAGGGTCACAGAGGGACTGCAGAAGTGGCACCAGTAAAACCTAGAAAAGCTACAACTGCCTGAATTAAAAAAAAAAAAAAAAAAAAAGTTTTTCAAATGACTGGAAGCCAAGATCAAGATCAAGAAACTGACATTAACACCTACTTGTACTGTAATTAAAAACAAGGTAAACCTAATCATTTTTTAATGAAAATACTGCCTAACCTCCCAGTTGTCTGAGGATTGAGCGACAGACAGGTCCAGCTGTCCCCGGTGCTGGCTTGGGATTGTGTTAAATTTAGCATGCAGGGGTCATTCGCATACCATGCCCCTCCCTCTCTCCCCAGTGTCCTCAAAGTGTTAGGATTTCTAGTTTCAAACTGAACAAAGCAAGAAAAAGGAAAAACGTCTGGTTGCCACTAACCTCTTGTGGTAATCCCAGCATTCTTCTTGGTAATTTTGGGCTGCAATTTAATATTTTGGGATTGTAATTTTATTTTCCTTGAGAGATCTTTGACGACCTTAATGAATCCTAAACATAAAGCATAGCCTCGCTTGTAGTACCCCTGTAACTTTCCTCTAATAAGCTTCACACTTCCTCATCTCCTTCTTCTTTTCTTCCAGCTTGATAATATAGCTTCTGAGTGGGTTGGACTTCCACCTCTGCCTTCTGCCAGGTGTCTCTTTGGTCTGGGAGAGGTAGATGACAAAATCTATGTAGTTGCAGGCAAAGACCTTCAGACAGAGGCCTCACTGGATTCGGTCCTGTGCTACGATCCTGCGTAAGTTGGCATGACATTCCTGCTCCCTAAGCATTTCAGTGTATGAGCATCTATTAACACACTCTTTATTTTCTGATCCTGAGATTTACTAAAAGTATTTACATCCTATTATCTAATTTTAGGGCTGCAAAGTGGAGTGAAGTAAAAAAACTTCCTATCAAAGTCTATGGCCATAATGTGATTTCACATAAAGGAATGATATATTGTCTAGGAGGAAAGACAGATGACAAGTAAGTACCCTGAAACCTTAATGTATATATACCACTGATTTTTTTTTTTAATTTCAAGGGTTTCTTCCTCTTTGCACTTGGATCTATAAAATGAAATGTGACTTGGATCCCACTCTTTATGTATGGGAGGTAAAATTTAAAATAGCATTCTGAAAAGTTATCGCGAATTATTATAAAAGATTTCCAAAGGGAAAATTTGGCTTTCATGAGCCCAGCACGGTGGCCTAGAGGTTAAGGTCCTTGCCTTGAATGCACCAGGATCCCAAATGGACACCGGATCTAATCCCGGCAGCTCCACTTCCCTTCCAACTCCCTGCTTGTGGCCTGGGAAGGCAATCGAGGATGGCCCAAAGCTTTGGGAACCTGCACCCGCGTGGGAGACACAGAAGAGGATCTGGATTCCTGGCTTCAGATTGGTGCAGCACCAGCCGTTGTGCTCACTTGAGGAGTGAATCATCGGACGGAAGATCTTCCTCTCTGTCTCTCTCCTCTCTGTATATCTGACTTTGCAATTTAAAAAAATAATAATAAATCTTTTTTTAAAAAAAATTAGCATTCAGAAGTAGCTAAAGTAAATGTGTAGGCACCAAGCATATTTGATAAGCTCAATCTTAAGCTTTCTTATGTGGGAAAAGCAGCATCTAGCAGCACAATCAAGTTTTTTGTTTGTTTGTTTGTTTGTTTTTTAGAGTTACAGAGAGATCTTCCATCTGCTGGTTCACTCCCCAAATAGCTGCAATGGCTAGGGATGGGCCAGGTTGAAGTTACAAGCTAGGAACTTCTTTGGGGTCTCCCATATGCGTGCAGGGCCCAAGTACTTGGACCATCCCTGCTGATTTCCCAGCACCTTAGCAGGGAGCTGGATGAGAAGTGGAGCATCCAGGACTTGAACTGGCGCCCATATGGGATGCCAATGGAGCAGGCAGGGCTTTACCCGCTATGCCACAATACTGATTGCAACACCATTAAGTACTTTAAATCACTGATTTGTAATTGTAGTTCACTGTGTAAAACAGAATTGATTGATTCACTTTGCCATAAGCAGATCAAAAACTTATGTACTTTTTAATGTGACATTTAAAATATATTTTCAAAGATAATAATGCACTAAAAATATCATGGATTTGCAGTTTATATTAATAAGATGGAAACTGGATAGGTCAGACTGAAACTGAGAAGTATAAAGATTGGTAAGAGGGCAGTTTTTCTTCAGTGATGTTTTACACATTGACTGACAGAGATGATATTCAATATAATTAATAATTTCAAAAATAGCTGCTGATTAGCCAGAACAGACACCTGCTGTTGGCACTGGTACTTAGGCTCTTGTGAGAAAGCCTGGATAAAGTTTTTTTTTTTTAAGATTTATTTTTATTTTTATTGAAAAGTCAGATATACAGACAGGAGGAGAGACACTGAGGAAGATCTTCCATTGTTGCTTCACTCCCCAAGCAGCCACAACAGCCAGAGCTGAGCAGATCCGAAGCTTATGCGGGTCCAGGGTCCCAAGGCTTTGGGCCATCCTTCACTGCTTTTCCAGGCCATACGCAGGGAGCTGGATGGGAAGCAGGGTTGCCAGGATTAGAACAGGCACCCACATGGCATCCCAGCATGTGTAAGACAAGGACTTTGGCCAGTAGGCTACCGCGCTGGACCCAGGATAAAGTTTTAGGACAAACTTTGTATACAGGCACTTCTCAAGGTTAAGTAATCAGGAATGATCTTGGAAGACTGAGAAGTGCATCTCACTGCTCCCGAAGTCAGGCCATTAACCAAGCATACTGCCTTCCTGTTAAATGAGCAACAATAGTTTAGCAAGTAAAGTTGAATTTCCTACCCCTGAAAACGGCCTGGTTTGGATTGTCATCATTTGCCCAGGCTGTTTAGTTACCAGGGATGTCCATTCTGGGAAAGGATTCCATCAGGACAAAGTAGGAAAGGTGAATAAAACACGGAAATGTATAGGAGATCCTATGTGCTAGAGTTAATCATTAGTGGTGATTACCCCATTAAAATGACAAATATTAAATGGAAAATGTATTTTTAAGAAAGCAATGGTTTGGGGAAGCTGTTTGGCCTAGTACTTAAGGTGCCCATTAAAGGCCCAGCACAATACTTTAGCACTCATTGGCCAAATCCTCACCTTGCATGTGCCGGGATTCCAAATGGGCACCAATTCCTGTGCTGGCTGCTCCACTTCCCATCCAGCTCCCTGTTTGTGGCCTGGGAAAGCAGTAGAGGACGGCCCAAAGCCTTGGAACCCTGCACCCTCATGAGAGACCTGGAAGAAGCTCCTAGCTCCTGGCTTCAGATCAGCTCAGCTCTGGCCATTGAGGCCACTTGGGGAGTGAACCCGCAGACAGAATATCTTTCTGTCTCTCCTCCTCTCTGGAAATCTCCATTTCCAATAACACTTAAACAAACAAACAAACAAAAAGATGCCATGAAACCATTTGTGTGTATTGAAATGCCTGGGCTCGACTTCTGACTTGGCTCCAGACTCCAGCTACCTGCTGAAGCAAGCCTCAGAAGCAATAGTGATGGCTCAGTTCATTGAGCTCCTGCCTCCCGCATGGGACATCTGGATTAAGCTCCCACCTGCTCACTTCATACCAGCCCAGTCCCGTGGACATTTCAGGCATGTGGGGAGTGAAACAGTGACTTGGAGTCCTCTTTCTCTTTCCCCTCACCTGCCCTCTTGCACACTCCCTCTCTCTTAAATACATGTAATTTTTTAAATCAATGATTTTCACATATTCTGTTGATATTCAACAACACTGTACTCAAAAAATTTGGTATCTCCCTTAATCTCAGCTATTCCCATCAAATCAATATTTAAAGGAAAGCATATTACAAATCACTTAGTGTCAGATCTTATTTTGAGCATGTTTTCTAAGTGAGTAGAATAGAAAATCACCATTAAGCAGTGTTATGACTTTGGAAACATAGGTACCCTGCCAAAATTATTTAAATTGTTTCCTCCAAGTAGCATTAGTAACTAGGAAAATGATATGTCAGTAAGAAGCATGTGGGTCTTGTCATAAGAATATAACAATATGATTAAGCAAAACAGCATTTCTTGATAAAGATCAACATAAAAAACTTGGAATGAGTCCTTATACAAGAGTTAGAACTGAATTGCATAAATTACAGTTAATGTACATGGAGGGAATTATTTTATATCATGTTTTTATCAGGAAGCTTTTTTAAAATTAAGATTTACTTGGAATGTAGAATTACAAAGAGAGGGAGAGAGACAGAGATCTGTTGTCCACTGGTTCACTCACCATAGAGTTATCACTGGGCCAGGCTGAAGCCAGGATTGGTTTCATTTGGGTCTCCCATATGGGTACAAGCATGTGGGCTGTCTTCTGCTGCTTTCCTGGGCATACAAACAGGAAGCTGGATTGGAAGAAGAGCAGCTGGAACTCAAACCAGCATCCATATGGAAAGCCACTGTTGTGGGTGGTAGCATAACTTGTTATGCCACTAACACTGACCCCCAAGAAACTTTCCAGTGATACCTGTAGTCAAGTATTAGGGAAATGCTTCTACTCCAGGTATCTGACCCTTTCTGATTAAGAGGCTGGTGCCATAGTGTGGTAGGCTAAGCTTCTGCCTATAGCACTGGCATCCAATATGGGCACTGGTTTGTGTCATGGCTGCTCCCTTTCTCATCCAGCTCCCTGCCTATGGACTGGGAAAGCAGTGGAGGATGGCCCCTACACCCACATGAGAAACCAGGAAGAGGTTCCTGGTTCTTAACTTTGAATCAGCTCAGCTTTCATTGTCTAATACATAGTCCAACATTTCTTTTTTCTTAAGATTTATTATTTATTTTTATTGGAAAGTCAGATATACAGAGAGGAAGACAGAGGAAGATCCTCCATCCGTTGATTCACTCTCCAGGTGGCCTCAATGGCTGGAGCTAAGCCAATCCAAAAACAGGAACCAGGAGCCTCTTCCAGGTCTCCCATGTAGGTGCAGGGTCAAGGATTTGGGCCATCCTCAACTGCATTCCCAGATCAGAAGCAGAGAGCTGAATGGGAAGCTCTCTGGGACATGAACTGGAACATGAACCTGCGCCTATATGGGACCTGGCTCATGCAAGACGAGGACTTTAGCCACTAGGCTACCACGCAGGCTGAATCCAACATTTCTTAAAATACACTATTATATTAATGGTAAATGAAATGAGATCTTATTAGTTAAATATAAAATAGGTATATTGGCATCTGATTATTATTACAATGATTATTTAAAAACCTATTTGAAAGATTGATAAGAAAGGTAGAGGATCTTCCATCTATTGGCTCATTCCCCAAATGGCCCCAATAAAGCCAGGAGCCTAGAACTCCATCAGCTCTCCCCCATGGCTTGGATGGCAGGGGTTCAAGCACTTGGATCATCTTTTATTGACTTCTCAGGCATATTGGCAGCAAACTAAATGGGAGGAGAAGCAACAGACACACCGATGTAGAATGCCAGCATCAGAAGCTGTGGCTTAACCTGCCAGGCTCCCACCTAATCAAAAAGTTAACTTATTTTCATTCCTAATATATTCAAATAATGAAATAATAAACCTAGTATTTCTTGTTACTGAGGCATAATAAAGGATCTGTGATATTTTTAACTCAGAATAAAAACAATGTTTCCTATTAAATTTAGGGGCAGATAGGATTACAATCTATTGTTCCTGGACTTCTAAGCAGTTCCCTAGATATTAAGATACCCTACATTCTGGGGGAACAATGAGTTCATAAAACAATTTTGGTTCCCATATTTGTCCTTTGCCTAGCAGCAGATATTGCCCTTAAGACTTCTGTGGCAATTTTCTGGTCCTCTGTTAGTACTCTCTCCTTCATGAGGAGAAGCAAGGCCAATTTACTAGAGAGGATGCTTTGCAGAAAAGATCTTAAACATGGACATTTGTTCTTTTCTGTTTACAGAAAGTGTACAAACAGGGTGTTTATCTACAATCCCAAAAAAGGAGACTGGAAGGACCTGGCTCCCATGAAAACCCCGCGCTCCATGTTCGGGGTGGCGGTCCACAAAGGGAAAATTGTGATCGCAGGAGGCGTCACAGAGGATGGCCTTTCAGCTTCCGTGGAGGCCTTTGACCTCACCACCAACAAGTGAGTGGCTGTGGCTCCCAGCAGGGGCCGCTGTGCATTGTAACTGTTAGAACATGGTGGGCAGGGGCAGGGAGAAGTACTTTGCCCAGGGTTTCTTCTACTGCTTCTGTGAATAAAAATCCCAGCATTTGGACATGCTATGTGTTTGTAAGTTGGAGCACGTGACCCTCAAGTTCATGTTGCCGTCCTGCGCTTGTCCCTGCTTGTCCCTAACTTTGTGAATGTAGTCATGCAGTGGTAAAACTTCTGAACAATTACACACATAAAGACAGATAGCCACATCTCTACAGAGTTTTTCAATTGGAAATACAGTTCTTTGAATATGAAAACATCTTAATTATGACTGATGTGTTTCTTTGAGCTTTTTATACCTTTATTGAAACTTTTATTTTTAAGCTTTTAATGACAATATGACAAATATTTGCTATTCTTATATAAGATTAACCTTTTTCAAATCTTTGGGTTCACACTTCTAGATGAATATATACTTGAATATTATTTTGGCAATGAATCAAAATCAGAGCACTGTTATTACATTTTTTAGAAACTATGTATGCTTGACTACAGAATTTTTCAGTGTCTGAAAATCACAAGCAAAGTAAAAACCTCTTTTACCTAAAGAGCACTAAAAATATTTTAAGACTATTCCTAGGTGCTCATGATTTCAGCAGTTATAGAAACAGCACACAAACTTGTAAATCCTCTATTCCTAGATTTATATACTTATTATATTTATATACTTATTATATGCTTTTCTAAAAAAGGCAAAGCTAACAAAAATGTTGCTTATAGTTATATTTGACAACTAGAATAACGAGGATATTTGTTTTCTTGTGCACGTTCCATACTTTCTGTACTATAATGCACATATACTATCTTTATGTTAAAAAGAGTTGAGAGAGGAAGGTTCAAAGCAAAACTATGAGAGCCACCAAAATGTCAGGATAATGCTATAGAGAGCTAGCACATGTCTAACTCATTCCTGAAACTTGCAACCATTTTCCTTGATTTTATCTTCAGCTGTCCTATTTCAGAAGGCTGTTAATATTTTTAAAATTCTCTTTAATCCTTTATAATAGAAATCTATGAATCATAAAAAATAAATTTTCCATCCTTAGCTTCTGAGTCTTATCATGTACCTCTATTACAAAGGAAATGATGTTTGTTGAGAAAAACTTGAAATTAAGTAATAAATATTTACATTAGTATTCAAACTCAATATAACACAGAGGCAGGTTGTGAGTCCAGGAACCCCGTAAGTACCACAGAACCCACTGTGTTTAACAAGTACTTTGGAAACCACTGCTCAAGAGACTAAGGGATGAAACATTCAGAGTGGTTCACTGAAGGCCTTATATCTAGTGTGATTATTGTACCTTTCAAATTAAGCAAATTTAAAACACTTTCTAGGCACAAACTTAATCTACTTTTGGATGACTATGCTACTTAGATTTAAAGATTATTTCCTACAATTATTCAATAGCTACAATTAAGTTTTCCATTTACTGTATTTTCAACAATACCCAGATGGGAAGTGATGACTGAATTTCCCCAAGAAAGAAGCTCCATCAGTTTGGTCAGCCTGGCTGGATCCCTGTATGCCATTGGTGGTTTTGCTATGATTCAACTAGAGTCTAAAGAATTTGCACCCACTGAAGTCAACGACATATGGAAGTAAGTTCTCTTTGCTCCAATTTGCAGAAATCAGATATTGAGATAAATGAAAACTGAGCAAAAATTCTTAGTAACTAATAAGTCAAACTTCCCCAATATGCAATCTATTTATTGTTTGTAAACCAAATACTTCAAAAGTTATTGAACATTTGCCATATGCTTGATCAAGTACTGCTTCGAGTGAGCTGTGTGAGCTTGGGAAAGAACTTATGTGGGCCTTTTTTATCAATCAATAAGATGAGAGTTGGAGCACTAATCTTCCAACCTCCATTCCAGTTCTAAATAGGCAACACAGTAGGTATCCAGTAAAGGGAAAGCTGCCTACCTTTCCACAAGTCACTTACTTCCTAAGAAAATAGAAATCTGAGAACGAAAAAAATTTAACCTCTTTTATAGGTTTTCATGAAATCATTAATACTGCTTTGGATTGAATTTAAATGATCTTCCAGTTGTTTGAGGATTCAGTTAACAAAGGACTTAAACAACAAAATAAAAGTAAAAGTAACAATCCATTTTACCTCCTGATAGGTACAGGGCAGTTCTCCCAAATATGACACTTGGCAATTATTGCTTAGGCCTAAAAAAAAAGGAATGTTTTAGTGGGCAGGGGTGTGTTTTACCAGAGTGCTTAATGCAGTGAGTGTTCGGTGGAAACCAGCGTGCATCCAGGAAGCCTCAGGGCAGAGATGGCTGGTTCGTGCTGTGCAGTCACACCATCAGGCAGTGTTCAGATGCCTCCTCAGCACCAGGAGACCACATGTGCCTGCCCCACAGCCCCTGCAGCCCTCTGCCCAGGCTCCGTGCCTGCTCCTCTGAGTCCACAGAAAGTAGATCCTAGGTGTCAGAGGTGAACATAAGCGGAGTCCATGCAGCACACTCATTTGGAAACCATGACACTTGTGGTTTACCTGTCACTTTAAAGGCCAGTCTTCACGTGAAGCTGGCTGCTTTTAGCTGACCTGCCATCAGATTATCCAGGGCCTCACCATTTGTCTGCAGAACAGGTGGTGGTATCAACTCCTGGGAACTTCTTAGAAATACAGAATCCCAGGCCCCACCCCAGATATAACGAATCAGAACTTGCATCTTAGCAAGATTTCAAAGTGGCTGGCTTGCATATTTTTAGCTACATCTTTGAAGGAGTATCCCTTATGCCTAATAAGTGAAGGCTTCCACTAAGACTTGAGAGTGGCTCGACTTTTTTCCCCCATTTCAGAATCAGCAGGTGCTTTATCCTTAGCTATGAAACTGGAAGGCTGATTTTTGTTTGTTTGTTTGTTTGTTTTTGCATTTGGAAGTTATTTCCCTAAGTGGTAAAAGTAACTAGCTGTGAGAGGCAAAGAAAAAGTGGTTATAAAAGGAAATTGTTTACTATCCCTTTTTCCCAAAAATAGAAGAGAAAAAAAATTTTTCAGGAGCAAAGAGGCTTACAATTAGCAAGAGAGTGATATGGAGAAAACCTGGAAGCACAAAAAGAGGGAGTAAATGCTGTTAAGCTGGGAAGGTAGGGACTTTGAGGAACAGGGTTATATATCTCAGGCTAATGGGCCAAGCTTCTCAGTCCCGACTGCATTACTGTTGTCTCAGATGCCTTTAAAAAAAGTATTTCTTTTCATTTTATTAGAAAGGCAGAGACAGCTTCCATCCAGTAGTTAATTCTAAATGTTTACAGCAGCTTGGGCTGGGCCAGGCTGAAGTCAGGAGTCAGGAACTCAATCCAGGTCTCTCACAAGAAGGGACCCAAGAACTTGAGTGATCCACCTGGCTGCGTGTCAGGGATCAAAAGTGAAGGAATTAGGACTTGAATCAGGCACTCAATATGGGATGCTGGTGTCCTAACTGGCACTCTAAACCAGCATGCCCAATGCTTACCCTGCATAGGATGCTTAAAAACTATCAGTTCCTGGGCCTTAGCACCGACCAATTATAGGTTTCTGGAGCTGGGCCTGTTTCCTAAAATCTTCACAGACAATTTTAACAGACAGCCAAGTGGAGTAATACTGATGTTAAGGAATTGTGCTGTTAACTACCTGAGCCTCATCTGATTCACCCTGGTTCCTAACGGTAGACAAAACCACCGAGCCATGGCATGAGGTAGGTGTAGACAGCACAGCAACAAACAAGGGGCCCGTACATTGCTGAGAGGAACTTTCTGTGTTTTATTTTGCTATCAAAACAGTGCTTCCCAAACCTGCCTGCACATTAGGGTGATTGACAGCTTTGAAAAGTACCACTGCCTTAGTCCCACCCTTACTGTAGGCTTTAGCTGGTTTGGGATATGACTGGGGCTTTGGAAGTTTCAGAAGATTCTCAAATGCACTGACACTCTTAGCCATATCTATCCCTATAAGGAGATGAAAGCCAGTGCACCACATTTTAAATCTATAGGCTCTGTTACAGCCACATGCAAAAATATTTCATTTCTCACATTTTTTCACGGTGATCACTCCATTATTTAGGATTGATTGGACTGAAATTAAAATATGACTGCCAGGAAAATACATTTTTAAGTCACATTTAACTACAAAATCCTGTTGCTTAAATGTCTTCTATCTTCTTTTCTGTCTGCACTTTCTATCTAGCTGTGAGAGGCTGCTAAGGTACCTTAGAGGTAGCAGAATATGGCCTGAGTACTTTGGTTCTTGTTGCCCAAGTGGGAAACCCACAAGGAGCTTCTGGTGCCCAGCTTTGGTCTGCCCTAGATCTAGCAGGCATTTAGGGAGAGGATTAATGCATGGAAGGTTCTCTCTCTCTCTCCCACCCTCTCTTTCTCTCTCCCCTGTATGGGAGCAAATGAAGTAACTAAACTCACAGTCAGCCTCTTCCCCCATTTTGGAATGTTAAGGAACAGTCAGTTTCCCTGTCCGTTATTCCTCTACTCTGGACAGTCTTGATTTTCAGAGAAGGTTGAACCCCTTGGGTATCCAGCTGACATTCTGTGACAACCATTCCAGCATTTGCTCACTTAGAGAGTCAGGGTTGTTTTACCACACAGGTGTCCCCTCCTCTGGGTAGGGGCTGGTAGGTTTGTTTCATTTGTTCACTGAACACATGGAATGCTCTAAAACTACTCAAAACTGATTATTGCTGTTTCCCTCCCTCAGGTACGAAGATGATAAAAAAGAATGGGCTGGGATGTTGAAGGAGATACGTTATGCTTCGGGAGCTAGTTGCCTAGCAACACGTTTAAATCTCTTCAAACTGTCCAAACTGTAAAAAGGTGACAAAACCTAATAGATTTGGACATAGTTTCTTTGGTTATCAGGCCTTTAATTTATTCTGTTTTTTTTTTAAGCATGTACAGGGATTCATGTGGAAATTATTTGCTGTTAATGCCTAAGCAGGGAGAATCGAACTTCAAGGTCACACTCTCCAGTGTGCCGATCAGAGCTTAAATCCATTTTTCTAATAAGGAATTAAATTGACAGTTGAACAAATTCATTTTTTTAAATCTGTCTCACTCAATGGATTGAAAAAGAAATTCCTAAACTGAGTAATTTACTAATTATTTCTTTTGTATTGGGATACTTTTATACTTATTTTTTGCATTACAAATGGAATTCAAGAAGTACATCCACATTTTTTAAATGTTTAATCAAAAAGCCTTTCCTCATGCTTAATCCTGTGTGTTGTATTAAAGATTATGTGCCATAAAAAGATGTTGAGACTGCTGTGAAAAGATTGTAATAAAGGTTTTCATTTGAAGGGAAGAGTAAGTAAAGGTAGTTGAATACAAACAGCCTTTCTTTTTCCCCATTCTTTTTGCGACACTAACGTATGGATTTCCAAATAACTTTTTTAAAGGTTAAATTTAAGATTAGTTGATGATAGTCTTGAAACCATTAACTACAGTATCTGAGGCGGGTGGATGGGGGTGCACAGCTGAAATCAGTAGATCTGTGACTGCAGGGACATACATCGGGGCACTTCGGGAAAGGACGAGGAGGGTATATACCCACTGGTTTCATTTTTAGCAAACCTGGCTGTTCTTACATGTGATGTGGGTGTCCCACCTGGCATCTTCACTGCTGGGCCAAATGCCTGCCCCTGGAAATCGTGAGTAAATGACCTTGACATACCTTCCTCTCACCATGGCACATAGTCTAATTTGTCATGTACCATGGCTCTTGCTCCCCTTTCTCTAGCTACCTTAATCAAATGGTTTTCATTTTTTTTAAATGTGTGCGTTGATTTTAGTCATTTGAAGATGCCAGGTGGGACACCCACATCATGTGTAGGAACAGCCAGGTTTGCTAGGCGCTCTGGCTGCTGACTCAGGCTCCCTCGGGAGGTAGAGGTAATGGTTCAAGCACGTGGGCTCCTGCCATTCGTGAGAGAACTGGATTGTGTCACCAACGCCTGGCTTCAGGGCGGGCCACTGCAGGCAAGCACTTAGGGCATGAGTAGCAGGTGGACACTTAGTCCCCTTACCTCACAAACAAAAATAAAGTTAGAAAAATGGTTTATTATGACTCCTTATGAAGGGCTATACTATTGTAACAATATGGGGAAAATCAATCGGGGGGAGTGAGATTTTAGGGGGGGAATCCCAGACTGTACGGAATTGTACCATAAAATTGAAAATTAAAATTAAAAAAGTGTTTAAAGATTTCCATATATCTCAAGTATACAATAAATGATTTTCGATTACTTTCAGCAGTCTAATTATTTCATTTTAAAAGTTACATAATGAAAATATAACTTTATTCAAGAGTTTGTTTCTCGGCATCATTTGCTTAAGAAATAAGACACATTCATGAACATGGATAATTCAAGACAGATGTCAACATATCTGATTACACAAATGAATATCTTAAGGAAATTCAGGAGGGAGGATGAATTTCAGTTGTTTACTGTTCTAGTGTTTTTCACAAAGTTTTGTGACATTCACATTCTGAAGGCCATTAAGTATGAGGGCTCAAGTCATGCAAGTTCATTGGCTATATCAAATATATAGCAAACATATTTCATCCAAGCCATGAGCCTATGCAGCAAATTACATATAGGACACATGTTTTAAAGCTGTGTTTACGATAGGAAGCACTCTGGCTACCAACTACATGTCATAGTAAACCAAGAAAGTCATGGAGTCAAAAGTAGTCAAATTTCAGAGGTCACTTAACTTCCCACCCTATCAGGCGGAATGAAGGTGGTTAGATTATGGCTTTTCTGCCATATTGTTCTTACACGAAAGGCTTGGGATTATATCACATAATAGGTCTCTGATAGCTATTTTATTGAACAAATGTGCTATACGACCAAAAAAAAAAAATCCTTGTATCTTCCATGTACAATCAGACCAGATGAAGATTGTCCCACTCAGTTACCACCCATTTGCATGCTTCCATTTAGAAGAAAATTCATGTCTCTGTCTTGGCTCAATCAAGCTTTCACAACTCCATCTGATCAACACTACGCTTCTTAAGATTACCAGTGATCTTCATGTAACTAAATATCATGGGCATTTCCCAGTTCCCATCTTACCTATTCAGCAGCATCTGACAGAGCCGTTTACCTGCTCCTCTTTGAAATGCTTCCTCTGCTCGGCTTCTCAGGAGTTTTTCACTACCTTGACGACTCTTCCTGCGAACACACTGGCCACCTCTGCCCATGCTGGTTGCTCTTCTTGTCTTAAGGTTGAGTGCCCTGTAGCTCAGTCCTTGCCCTTCTTCTGCTTCCTACTCTTCTCTAACCACATCTTAAACAACTGCATTTGGTCCTGTGGCATTAACCACCACCACCAAATTCCAAACTTATATCTGCAGCCTGGATCTCCCTCCTGATCTCCAAAAATTCATTTACTCAATTCTGTATTTAATACCGACATGTTTAAAGGGTGATACAGGGCCCGGCGCGGTGGCGCAAGTGGTTAAAGGTCCTCGCCTTGCACGCCTGGGATCCCATATGGGCGCCGGTTCTAATCCCAGCAGCCCCGCTTCCCTTCCAGCTCCCTGCCTGTGGCCTGGGAAAGCAGCAGAGGACAGCCCAAAGCCTTGGGACCCTGCACCCGCATGGGAGACCCGGAAGAGGCTCCTGGCTTCGGATCACTTGGGGAGTGAATCATCGGACGGAAGCTCTTCCTCTCTGTCTCTCCTCTCTGTATATCCGCCTTTCCAATAAAAAATAATAAAAATAAATCTTTAAAAAAAAAAAAGGGTGATACAAATTCCATATGTCTAAAACAAACATATCTCCATACCCCAGCCACGTTCTTGCTTTCCCATAGACTTCTCTGTCTTAGTTACTGGCAAATTAAAACCCTTTTACACGCGTAGGATAAAAACTCAAAGAATTATCCTTGACTCCGGATTTTCTCATACTCTATATCAATCAGTGAACAAGCTGTGCTGCCTCTCCCTACACAATACTCCCAAAACTCTGACCATTTTTCCTTATCTCTACTTCTACCGCTCTCTCAAAACTACTATTCATTTCTTACTTGGGTTATAGCAATGACCTTGTTACAGTTTCCTTGTTTTTACATTTTCCCTGCTGTATTCTTCCCTCCTCTCAACAGGGCAGCACCCAGTGATGCAAAAAAATGTGAGTTCATTTCGGTTCCTACTTAAACCCTCCTGTGGCTTCTCATCTTTCATGAGGTTGTATATATTTGTCCCTGTTACCTCTTGCCTTTTCTTATTCTTCCTTCCCCGCTTAACTCTGCTGTAGTCACAACAGATGTCTTGATATTCTAAAACACATCAGATATGTTCCTACCTCAGGATTTTTTTTAATTGAGTCAGGTCAGATAATTAAGTACAAGTACAGGTACAGGTGTGGCACACCATAATTCATCTTAAAATTCCAGTCATGATTTGCCTTCTCCAAATATGTGTTCTCTCAGGTAGTTCATGCGAGCTTCCTGTGTTGACAGTGCCATAGAGTTCCATTCAAAAGGAGAGATCTGTAAACAACATAGTTGGAATGAATGTTTTAAAAATATATATCTGAGAGGCAGAGCAACAGAGCATGGAAGAGACAGAGAAATTTTTCATTTGCTAATATACTCACTTTCCAAATGGATGGAACAATCGGGACTGAACTAAGCTGAAGCCAAGAGCCAGGAATTCTACCCTGGCCTCCACATGGGTGGAAGGGGCCAAGGACTTGGGCCTTTCTTTGCCTTTCCAGGGACATTATTAGGAAACTAGACTGAAAAAAGTAATTGAGGGGGCCCGGCGGCGTGGCCTAGCAGCTGAAGTCCTTGCCTTAAACGCGCCAGGATCCCATATGGGCTCCAGTTCTAATCCCGGCAGCTCCACTTCCCATTCAGCTCCCTACTTGTGGCCTGTCAAAGCAGCAGAAGACAGCCCAAAGCCTTGGGACCCTGCACCCATGTGGGAGACCCAAAAGAAGCTCCTAGTTCCTGGTTCCAGGTGGGCTTAGCTCTGGCCATTGGGGCCTCTTAGGGTGTGAACCAGCGGATGGAAGATCTTTCTGTCTCTCTTTCTCTGTGTAAACCTTTCCAAAAATAAAATAATATAAAACAAATCCTAAAGAGTAAAGAAAAAGTATCCAAAACTTAAAATGGCCTTCCAGTATATGATGCCAGTGTAATAGGCAGTGGCATAATCTGCTGTACCACAATGCTGTCCCCATGAATGAAAGTTTTGAGACGACTATAACAAGAGTCATCCTTATGACATAGTGGATAAAGCTGGTACCTGTAATACTGGCATCCCATATGGATGCAGGCTTGAGTCCTGGATACTCCACTTTTAATCCAGTTCCCTGCTATTGATCTGGGAAAGGCAATAAATGGTAACCCAAGGCCCGTGTGGTAGCCTAGCACCTAAAGTTCTGCCTTGCACGCAGAGATCCCATATGGGCATGGGTTCTAATCCCAGTGACCCCAGTTCCCATCCATCTCCCTGTTTGTGGTCTGGGAAAGCAGTCAAGGATAGCCCAAAATCTTGGGACCCTGCACCCATGTGGAAGAGCCAGAAGAAACTCCTGGCTCCTGGCTTCAGATTGGCTCAGCTCCAGCTGTTATGGACACCTGGAGAATGAATCAATGGACAGAAGATCTTCCTCTCTGTCTCCCCTCCTCTCTGTGTATCTGACTTTACAATAAAAAGACAATAAATCTTTTTTTAAAAGAAAAGAAAGCTTTCCTAGGTACTTGGGTTCCTGTACCCAAAATGGAAAACCCAAAAAAATTTCCAGGTTCCTGACTTTAGGCTGCAGCTGTTGCAGCCATTTGAGTGGTAAACCAATGGATGGAAGATCTTTCTCTGTATCTCCCTCTTCCAGTCTTGTTTCTTCCTTGAAAATAAAATAATTTAAGAATCAAAAAAAGAAAAAAAAATCTTCAAAAGACATTAGGGAAGACTTATCATTACTACTGAGCAAAGCTATGTGATCCCTATTAAATTAGTTTACATGAGTATAGCCTTTAAAATCCGTTTTAGAAGTGAAGTATGGGGCCCGGCATGGTGGCCTAGTGGCTAAAGTCCTCGCCTTGAACATGCTCGGATCCCACGTGGGCGCTGGTTCTAATCCCAGCAGCTCTACTTCCCATCCAGTTTCCTGCTTGTGGTTTGGGAATGCAGTCGAGGACGTGGGAGACCCAGAAGAGGCCGCTGACTTTGGA